AGCCCCAGGATGTTCAGCAAAAACAAAAGACATAACCATCCCAGCAACAGCAACTCAGATAGGCCAAACGGAGATCCTATATGAACCCGAGTTACACCTGGACTTAAAACGGATTTCAAGTATATTTTCTACCTATTCCCATTTAACAACTACGATGGAAATTGAGGAAAATATCCGAACAAAACTAAAGACTCACAGTTTTGATACCAACTCCAAAACCCTGGAACAACTGGAACAAGAGTTGGAGAATTTTGCGATGCAGCGGAAATGGAGAACCCATCACTCTATCCTTATTTATGGCTCCTATAGTGGATTGATGATTTTTGGCATTATCAGTCTCCTCCTTCTATGTCGACACTCAATCAGTAGAAAAATCAGGACCATCACTGGCAAAAGTAATTTCAAAAGAAACAAGGCTGATCCCGTTCCGAAGACAGGGTATAAGTTAAGGAATCAAGACGAGCACCTAGATATGCAGAGATCTGGAAAAATCCCTTCAACATCTACGAAGCTAGATCAAGACGTGGAACTCCAACCATCGACCGCTGGGGCACCTAAGAATCTCGTACCTATAACCCAATCTTGACAACTAAATTCCGAAGGTTTCGGAATTTTGACAACGAAATCAACAGCATCAACCAGTGTCAGTTTACCAACCAAAAACTGTTTAAGAAGGGTAATCGTATTACCCATACAAAAACTTCAACCAGTTTAGTTGAAAACAAAAGAGTGTGCTATGTTCACATTGCACCTTATATATGACTAAAGTTTTTTTTGTTTGGTTAATTTTTTTTGTTTGTTTAGTTTTGCCTTGTTTTATTTTTTTTATTACATGAAAACCCACTATCGATATCTCTTATCAATTTCAGCACCGTCGGGACAGGTCCTAGCATATTCTCATGTAAAAGAACAGAGAAATCTTGTAGAGGGAGGCTTACGTGGTCTGACCGCCGAACTGCCACTTGGGCCGCCCTCAATATTTTGCCAGACATCCTTTCCTACCACGTTGTCAAAGGACTGGGTGCAAATGTGCTCTAACGAAACATTGTCACCTGTCTAATGATTTGTGGGAGTTTTGGGTCAGTGCCTGGTTGATGAAGAAATCGGTCGTGGAAACTCATGTAAAGATAATTGATAGTGTTAGCGGGCGAATTCTACCCGATATTAATATAATTATTGTTATCTTTAGCAATTTTTATACATATCATTACAAAAAAAAGAACACTTTCCACTTACCTTGCATCGAAGCACCAACGTTGAAAGTTCCCCCCCCCCTTTTTTGTGTTTATGAGGTAAAATTCCTGAACTGTCACAGGTCCAAAAATGAAGTCTACGGGATCGAGCCAAGATTTTCAGGGATTGTTGTCCTATTGGATAGATCTTCGAATACCAAGTATTGTGAAGTTTTATCAAAACCTGTAGGATGTGGAGGGGGTTGAAATTTCCCACTTTTGATGAACACTCACCTTTTCAAGCCTTTGTAACTTTTTTCCTTTTTGTCGTACAAAAATTTCACTATAAGGTTTTTTTTAGGTTTTTTTACGTACATTTTGATAAAAATTATTAATTTAAAAAAAAAAATTTTTTTGACCCTTTTTTTGCAAAAATAAAAATAAATTTGTATTTTTCTCGACAAGAGGTATTTTTAATTTTTTTAAAAATATTTTCATTCGAAAGCTGAGATTTTTTCCGATGAAATATGTAATTTCCAGGAGGGCGTTTTTTTTTTCTTCGAGTAATGAAAAAAAGAGTAAAGAGGTGCACCAAGTATCTCGCGCAACTGATGCGACGCGACATCTGTTTATTCATTGGTATATACAGCATAACTTTACGCTAGTAAATTTCATGAAACATTATTATTTCTCTACTTAATTAATATAATATGTGATTAAGAATATCATATTTTGTTGTATTTTAATAATTGAACAAAACTCATAACGACTAACCGGATTCACTAAAAGAGTTTTGTCACTCAAAATGTTTTAGTTATATAATATATTTTATTTACTATTTTATATTTTTCTAAATTGAGTTAATATTTCGTTGATATCAATTGAGAGTCATTTATAACGTTTAAAAGATTCATGTTTTCGTGAATGTTATAACATGTAGAACATATAGTCCATTCCAAGTTTCTATAAGGCAAGAGTATCTGTACTCGATCTATTTGCATTAACTAGTTTGTACTGTTTATTCCTATTAACTGTCGATTAAGAATTTTCAAAGTTTAGGAAAGGTGTCTTTCTGAAAATATTATTTTGACAATGACGTCAAGTCTGATAAAATCTTGGCGAAGCCAATGCTTTAATCCTCTAAATAAATTTCGGCACAACTCGGTTAATTTGCGTCAGGTTTCGAAAAATCTAATTTAGACATACCAACAGACGCAGTAGTGTGCGTCTCGTGTAGAGTTGAACTTTATAAATTAGCGAAAAAACGGTCGTTAGATTCTCCTCAAGCTGAAACCATTCCTGATCCGCATCAATCGGATAATGTTGATGAAAATCATGAAAGAATTTTTGAAACTGATATTTCTGATGATGAAAGTGATTTAAATTTTTCTAGTTCTTCAAAAATAAAATCTACGAATGTCCAGTTTCAGCTTGACAAGAATCTAACGACCGTTTTTTCGCTAATTTATAAAGTTCAACTCTACACGAGACGCACACTACTGCGTCTGTTGGTATGTCTAAATTAGATTTTTCGAAACCTGACGCAAATTAACCGAGTTGTGCCGAAATTTATTTAGAGGATTAAAGCATTGGCTTCGCCAGGATTTTATCAGACTTGACGTCATTGTCAAAATAATATTTTCAGAAAGACACCTTTCCTAAACTTTGAAAATTCTTAATCGACAGTTAATAGGAATAAACAGTACAAACTAGTTAATGCAAATAGATCGAGTACAGATACTCTTGCCTTATAGAAACTTGGAATGGACTATATGTTCTACATGTTATAACATTCACGAAAACATGAATCTTTTAAACGTTATAAATGACTCTCAATTGGTATCAACGAAATATTAACTCAATTTAGAAAAATATAAAATAGTAAATAAAATATATTATATAACTAAAACATTTTGAGTGACAAAACTCTTTTAGTGAATCCGGTTAGTCGTTATGAGTTTTGTTCAATTATTAAAATACAACAAAATATGATATTCTTAATCACATATTATATTAATTAAGTAGAGAAATAATAATGTTTCATGAAATTTACTAGCGTAAAGTTATGCTGTATATACCAATGAATAAACAGATGTCGCGTCGCATCAGTTGCGCGAGATACTTGGTGCACCTCTTTACTCTTTTTTTCATTACTCGAAGAAAAAAAAAACGCCCTCCTGGAAATTACATATTTCATCGGAAAAAATCTCAGCTTTCGAATGAAAATATTTTTAAAAAAATTAAAAATACCTCTTGTCGAGAAAAATACAAATTTATTTTTATTTTTTCAAAAAAAGGGTCAAAAAAATTTTTTTTTTAAAATTAATAATTTTTATCAAAATGTACGTAAAAAACCTAAAAAAACCTTATAGTGAAATTTTTGTACGACAAAAAGGAAAAAAGTTACAAAGGCTTGAAAAGGTGAGTGTTCATCAAAAGTGGGAAATTTCAACCCCCTCCACATCCTACAGGTTTTGATAAAACTTCACAATACTTGGTATTCGAAGATCTATCCAATAGGACAACAATCCCTGAAAATCTTGGCTCGATCCCGTAGACTTCATTTTTGGACCTGTGACAGTTCAGAAATTTTACCTCTTATATAAAAGATTAAGGTTCCGATTTATTTTTCATAATGTTTAATTTTTTTTTTAATTTAATCATTTCTCTATTAAAGGGGAGGGGGAACAAGTATCGCTCGTATTTCTGAAATTAAGAAGATATAAAAGAAAAAAAAAGAGAGAGAATGGGAAATTTTTATGACAAATATTTTATTTTCAAAAAAAAGAGATAGAAAAATTACAGAATTAAAAAAAAAATTAATTTTTTTTTATTATTTTTTTAAACGCTAAGAGGTGAAAGATGGCTCCCTGGTCCGAAGGTCAACTGTAAGCTAGACAGTCGAATCTAGCAAATGGCCCTCTGGACCAACCTCCTGCCAAATCCTCCTTAGAGGAATCCGAGCCTTCTGAAATAAACAAAAAGGGAAGAGAGTTCCTTCTCCACCTTCAAAATTCCAGAGAATTATGATTCTATTTTGAACTCTGTATGGGTGATTCCCCCCCCCAAAAAAAATAAATAAAAAAAATAAATAAATAAATAAAACTTCAGGAAAACATAAATAACTTTGAAAATTTCAACACATTTTAAACAATTTTACTCATTCTCTGAATGTATTTTCATTACATTCTGTATAATATATTTCTAATATATTATAGAAAGTTTTAATTATCAAATCAGTTCTAAGACCAGTAATAACTTATTCTATAAAATGGAATAAAATAAAAAGCAAAATTGACATGTTTCTTTTTTTTCCATATAATTTTGAGGCAAAAAGTGCAAGTCTTGTAGTATATTTCCACAAGTTTATGCTTTGTCGTGCTGGAATGAAGATTTTCAAGAAAATATTTTTCCAATAATTATCAGTAATTAAAATTGATGTAATGAAAAATTGTATTTATAAAAAAATAAAAGAAAAAAAATTTTTTTTTAGTTAAATTTTAGGAATATTAATTGAATAATTAAAGATAGTACGGTTTTTTTTATAAGGTATAATAGTTAAGGGATGTTAAAACAATATCTTCCTTCATTGTTGATAATTAAATGTTAAGATTCTTAGAAGATATAATTCAGAGACGTGAAATTACCCACTTTACGGAGAATCACCCATATATATATTTTTTTTTGCTACTTACCAACTGCCACTGCCAAAAAAGGTAAAATGGAAAGGATTTAATAGTCTTCTTATCCCCATTTCTCTCTCCCACTTTTCTTTTACTCACCATGTTGGGTGACTCCTGTCTACCTCCCACCAGCCCTGAAGAACTTTCACGTCCCCCGCTGCGCTGCATCCCTTACAACCGAGGGATCGGCAAACCCAGGCTAAAAAACAAAAAAAAATTAAAAAATTAAAAAAAAATTTAATTAACAAATAAAGTTCTACATATATATATATGTTTTTCTCTCTTTATCAATATTTTTTTTTAACTTAACAAATCGATGAATACTCACAGTCGCCCAAAAACCTCGACAGATGTAGACTCGGTTCCTCTCGCACCAGAAATACTCCTGGTACCACTGACACCGGGTATATCGTTTTCGGGGGCTACAACTCTTTAGAATCGGGTCCAATCCCCATGGCACCCGATCGTCTTCTCGATCGGGAGCCACCCTCCACTCATCATACGCAACAAAAAATCTAAAAAAAAAAGTATATGGTTTTTCAAAATTTTATTAAGTGTTACGAACCAAAGAAATTATTAGTTTATAGAAATCAATTACTTTAAAAATAATTAATTAAAAGAAACTGTAGGCTTTTGAGATGGCCTAAATTTCTAGAGTTCTCGGAGGTCCAAACTGCCTTAAATCCAATTTGGATTTAAGTTTATATTCATGGGTTCGTTTTCGCTAAAATGCTGATATTTTCTAGATTGAATTAGAAAATATACCGCGACTTCTTTTATTAAATTGTCATGGATAGAATAGAGGGAAAGAATTAATTAGCAAAGAATTAGGAAAAGAATCACAAATTTTATTTATCAAAAAGAAATTAGCAAGACATAAAAAGAAATAATCAAATTTAACAAATGAAATTGAGTTTTAGTTCGGAACGATACGTTGAGTACTTACCGTTCCGTGTTCCTTATTCTACCGTCGGTTAGTTGAGGGTTGAACACCTTCTCGCCCCTTACAATCACTTGCCGACGGGCAAAACATTCAATAAAATAAAAAGGAAACTATTATAATTTTTGTGTCCTCTCACACTCGCTCAGGTGGCGCATTAGCGGTTTGCCGTATGTCGTTTTCGCGTTAACTAGACAGGGACAGACAAATCCACCCTCTTACTCGTTGACTCGTCAATTGCAAAGGCAGGCGCGGGTCCTACACGTACCCGGCTGGTCTCGCGACAAAGATAAGGAAAGCGACCTTCCCTTAAAACTTCCCTTCAAATATTGTCTTTGTTAATTATGCTGGATTTTTCTTGGGACCGTCGCATCGAAAACGGACGCGGGCTCTACACGATTCCGGCCGGTGTCACCACAAAATTATTATCACTGCAAAAAGATCCATTTTGACGATAATATTTTAATTCGACACGATTCCAAGCGGCCCCGTGGACTACGGGTATATAGAATTTTAGTTTACGTCCGACCAACAATTCTTGGGTAAACACGCAAGAAAAGTTGTGTCCCTTTTACCGGACGGGCCCGTCTGGATTTTTAATCGATATATCGCGACTAATTTTCGCGATCGCCGAAACCGAACTGAACATAGAGAAATGGGCCAGAGATGCCTCGTAGGTACGCTTAGGGATCTAAAGTGGGAATTAATGCTGAATCGTAATTTTGGAAAACAGGTGGAAATGGTAACATTGTTACTAAGCTAGTTTTTGCAAACTAAGGAAAATTTGTAAAGATAGAGGTGGAACTCAGGGGCCTGTTGCCATGCGATTTTTAGCTGACTTCACATTTGAACGGAAGTTGCTAAATAATTTCGAGAATTGGAGTTAAAATTAATTCCAATTAAAATAATTAATAAATTGATATATTATCCTAAAAGGATAATTAATTGGAAAATAGGAATTTTCCTTATAGGAAAATCCTTAGTACATTCACTGTACATGTATCTTTAAAAATGTTTAATTTTTAAAATACATCTTTTTAATTTTGTTTGAATTCCAGTATTGGGTGAAATATTTTATTTTCAACTTCATACCCAATTTTGATCTGGAATTGAGCAGTAGCATAACTCAAAATAAATAAATACACGTGCTTTTAATCTGACAGCACTGTATTGCATAGCTTGTAGGCTTGGACGGAAGAAGGGAGGTAAGGAGAAAGAATAGGTGAGGAGAATAAGAGTGTAATGGTACTGTGGAATATAGCGTACCATGTAAGCGCCTATAGCCCGAACTCACATGTATAGGTGCCTGTAGCGTATAGTCCAAACGAGTATGCGAGAACCAACGACCGCCATGCATTCAACGGTCTGTGGAGTAAGAGAGAAAACCATGTGACAGAGGGAGAACGCAATACTCCGCGAGAACAATGTATGTGAGAGAGAACGCTTCGCCATTACATACAATTTCTTTTCTCTCTCGCACAATGCCGAGGGATGCGCGGGGAGCCTTCACTCAACGCGTGGAGTGAAGCCTCTTGCCTGTAATGATATATGAATTACTTTATTTTAATTCTTGTATCATTTTAATTTCGATAACTACAATTTCCAAATTTTGATTTGATAAACTTCAAAATTTGTGACTATTTTACAATAATATAACCATTCGTATATCTTAAACAATAATGATGATAATAGTAATATTTTAGGTATAAACATGCGAGTTCATGCGTTTCTATTCATCCCATAACATTCTCACAGGTAGGCGCATGGATAACCAATGGTCCGCGATGCTTTACAGGTTATCCGGATTAACATCGGTGTTTATCGTTCGGGAACGTTGCGGTAAGGTTTATTAAATTTAGAAAATTAAATAGAATAATAATTTCAAAACCGCAACTTTCCCAAAAATTCCGTTCGCTAGTTACATTGTTTACAATCTGGGAACTTTGAGAAAGGTTACCTGAGCTCGGAAAGACCTCGCAAGCTTCGTTTTCTACTCGCAACCTTCCCAATTGGTAACTTCGTTGTTTATGGATTGGGAAGTTTGCACCAAGGTTTTTAAAGCCTGCGGCGTCGTTCCGAGTCCGAATATCATATTTTTATAATTTTACTTTGAGTAGTTCCTGAGTTATTCACGAAAAACGCCAAGAGGCTTGCCGCAAGGTTCCGATGGTACTACAATACACGGGGAGCTCGTATCTATGCTCCTTCTCAATATTACAGACCATTAATTATCCCATACGTATAAAATAATTAATTATAATTTAGGGAAAGGTTAATAACCCGTGTCGGCTTCAAGAGCTAAAATAGAAGAATTTTAATTTCGAAATATAATTTTAATTTCGAGCGTTTAGCAATTGTCTCATGCGAAGCTATAGGTGAATATACCGGGGATGCTGACGCATGGAATTCCTGGTAGTTGCGCGAGCCTTGGACTTGCTTAGAAAAAATTAAAGCGAGTCCAAAAGAAATTGCAATTAAATTATTGAGAAATTATTTCATAATTAAATAAAAATAATGTAAAAGTTTTTGACGTTACATTAAGTTATTATTTTTCAGGATGTTATCGAAAATACAATTTTTCAAAATTTTATTAAAATTATTGTTTTCAACATTTTATCAAAAATATAATTTTTCAAAATTGTATTAAAATTATTATTTTTCAACATTTTATCGAAAATATAATTTCTTCAAAATTGTATTAAAATTATTATTTTTCAACATTTTATCAAAAAATTATAATTTTTAAATATTGTATTAAAATTATTATTTTTCAACATTTTATCAAAAATATAATTTTTCAAAATTTTATTAAAATTGTTCATTTTTAACATTTTATCAAAAATATAATTTTTAAGATTTTATCGAAAATATAATTTTTCAATGTTTCTATTAAAATTATTATTTTTCAACGTTTTATCAAAAGTATAATTTTTCAAAATTTTATAAAAATTATTATTTTTCAACATTTTATCAAAAAAATTATAACTTTTTAAAATTGTATTAAAATTATTACTTTTCAACATTTTATCGAAAATATAATTTTTCAAAATTTTATCGAAAATACAATTTTTCAACATTTTATCAAAAAAAATTATAATTTTCACAATTTTATTAAAATTATTATTTTTCAGCATTTATAAAAAAAAGATATATAATTTTTCAAAATTTTATTAAAATTATTATTTTTCAACATTGTAATGATGTGACTTTATTAAGCCAAAGGATTTGCTCGCCGGATTAGTCCGGGTCTTAAATTTTAGGAACTCTTTAGTTCATTGCTCTCTTATAAAAAAATATAAGTGGTATAGCGTGATATACAGGTAGGTAATGTCAATAATGAGGCGATGATATAAACCTTCGAAAGCAGTTTTTATTTAAACAAATGTAAAGAAAGAAATAATAAACAATATAAAAGAAAAATAACAATAAAATAAATGACTAAAATTAAACTGCTCGATAACTCTCAAAAAATATATATAAAAATACAAAAATAAAGAAATCCTAAACTAACTAAATTAACAATAGTAAAATAAATGTGAAACTAACTAACTAACTTAATTGTAATGAAAGAAGTGGAAAAGAATAAAGAATTTTCAAAAGAAGTAAGAGGATAGAAGAATTTAGAAGAATAAAAGAATAGAGAATAAAGAAGTGAGAAAGAAAAGAAACGAGACGGTACGCCGCTGTGGTGCTGCATTGGATCCGCCGCAATACTGTAAAAGACAATATTTAGTTCTCGACATTTTGTATTTTTCCCCAGGTGGAATGCTCAATAATAATTTCCGCGAGGGAGATTCTAGAATACGCCCCTAGCTACGAGACGAGCGAAAACTAGGTTTCGTGCACGACTAGTGATTCTATTTTAATCAAAATTTCTAGATGCCGTTTCCGTACGACATTCATACTCTACGCGAAGCTAGTGCGGAAAGAGAGAGAGAGGAAAGTTACAGGTTATTCTTCCCTCCAGATGTACCTCGAGTCGAAGAATAATACCTGGTGCATCAACTCGGTGAAAAGCGAGATGTACCTCGTCTTCACAGGGTCGGTTCTCCAGGAAATGGCGGGTCAGGATCGCGTCAGCCTTCCACGGATGTACCCCTGGTCAGACCTTGCGCGGCAGGTAAGAAAAGATGGAGTGCGAAGGGAGTTACTACTGCACCAAGGTGCCTGAGTACTACTCCTTCTGTAGGAATACATCCACCAGGTCGGCCCCAGATGTACCTGAGATACCGTCCTCGAGGATGAGGTAGGCAGGGCTAGCAGCACAAATGTACCTGTGGTCCGCCTGCCCTGGGGAGGATAATCTTATTCCTCGGGAGAGACGTACCTCACCCTCGGCGATAGATAAGAAAGGAAGAGAATAGGAAGAAAGGAAGAGAATAGGAGGAAAGGAGAGAGCTGCTGTCGTCCAGCCTCGAGATGTGCCTCGAGTCCGGTCGACGGTGAACTGAGGAAATTGTACGTGCAAGCAAGCATATACCGCTTGACGTTTCTACTAGGAGCTATGGCGCGAGTGAGAGAGACCACGTGCTGCGCGGCAAAGTGTGCGCGTTCGGTACTCTCCTCCTGGCTATCGAGCTGACAGCTCAACCGTATATCAAAAAAATTATAATTTTTCAAAATTGTATTAAAATTATTATTTTTCAACATTTTATCAAAAATATAATTTTTCAATTTTTTTAATTTCTCAAAACCTTAGGTATTTTTGGACTTACCCTCTTCCCCCACTGAGTCCCCCCAACACATTACGAAGTTGGATGCATATAAATAATTTTTCCATCCTATCCTTGTCCTCCGATGTAGGGGCCCGCTCCTCCTCCTCCTGTATTTTGTCCAGCTGCATCCCCTTCACCTTTTTCAAAAGGCCCAACAACCCCTGTCGATAATTAATTACACTCTCACTCATTTTAACACTTTTTATTCTTTCTCTTTTTTTTGTTGTTGCTATTTGCACCACACTTTACCACATAAATCAAATCACTTTACCACTCACTTTCTGGTCGCGAGAAACAATGGGGTACGAGAAAAGTCTACTACCCACAGGTCGCCAGCAAACTGAACGAGGGGAGCTGAGTCTGGACCGCGGAGACTGATACACGTGCAGCTCCTTGGTCCTTATCAGTGCAACCTGATACTTCACATCCGATTCTCTGGCACCAACGTCCAGACAAAGAATCAGCAAAAATAATATATAAAAGAAATCTTATAATTCTCTTCTTTTTTTTACATGCGATATATTAATATTATTATTTAATTATTATAAGCCCGATTTCGTTCTTGTCGCTTATAGTTTTTGGGGACAAAAACGGGAACATTCACGGTGGTTTGTTACGGTGGTACCTAAAAATTTAATTTTTTTTATGTTGTGTTGAAATTTATTTCTCGTAAATTTTAATACAATACTTTGACAATAAAATTCAATCGTCAGCATAATGCGATGGGAACGGAATCGGGCCTTAATCTTGGAATGTCATGTGTGCACATATTATTATTATAACTATTTAGAATAAAAATGTAAATCATAAATATCACCAATAGATATATATGCATGTACTTTAACATAATTTCAAATTTCTACGGGCATTCGTAATTAAATATAACCTTAAAAAGTGAAAATCATTATATATATGAAATATAATTGAAAATCTTTGATTCTAATGTTGCGAATGTTGCGAGTGCGTTAATGAACATTGCGGCAGCGTTCCGAATGCGTTGGACGTTGCGGCAATGTTCCCAAACCACAATTGTAAAAGTTAGCAAATGGGAATGTTGCGAATGTGTTAATGAACATTGCGGCAGCGTTCTGAGTGCGTTAGACGTTGCGGCAATGTTCTCCACTTAAAATTGAAGAAAGTAGCGAACGGTAATGTTGCGAATGTTGCGAGTGCGTTAACGAACATTGCGGCAGCGCCCTGAGTGCGTTGGACGTTGCGGCAATGTTCCCAAACGAAAATTGTAGAAGTTAGTAAATGGGAATGTTGCGAATGTGTTAGTGAACATTGCGGCAGCATTCTGAGCATATTAAACGTTGCGGCAATGTTCCCCACTTAAAATTGAAGAAAGTAGCGAACGGTATTGTTGCCTAACAATCCTACATGCTCATGACAACACAACATCAAAGTTGTAATTGTCGCAAATAAAAAAAAGGGTAAAAATACCAAAAATCAAATCATTTTCCAACAAGGAAAATTCATAAAATAAATCCAAAAGACAACAAGTTTTTTTAATAATAATTATGCTTGATTTAATCAAGTGCATATTATTATATTTGGCTATACCATTAAAAGAAAATAAAAACTCAGCATTATTGGCATAGTAACAGGCCCAGAGCTCACGCCTTTATCACATGTTAAAAACCCTTAGTCCACAAAATTTTCCCACCTGAAGTCTCTAAACATTCATATAAAAGAACATCGCGGAAGTCAATTAATTGCAGTACAACTCTCATTCGCGAGTCAGCTCTGAAATTTTTCAGAGGCATAAAAACGATTTTGAGACGCCGGGACTAAGCCCGCCCTGGCGGATTCAGATTTACCCAATGTCCACTTTTAAAGGAGACATAAGGGAGACATAAGGGAAACATGATAAAAAGTTATTTAAAAAGTGAAATAAAGTGAAAAAAAGTATTGATTCTATAAAATGGATATTTAGAGAATGAATTTAAATAAGAATTATAATAAATAAAGCTCTAAATACTTAATATTAAATGAAAATGTGAAAAAAATTTTATTCATTTCATCCCGATATATTATTTCATAATATATGTATGAAATAATCGTATATTTACAAGAAAATCATATTTACTTATTAAGGATTGTAAAATTTATTCAATTTGTTTATTACTTTGTATAAATAAATAAAAATTAGAATAATTTAATTAAATATTAATAGTGATGTGAAAAGTCAATAGTATCTACTTTATCGGCAACCTGAAATAGAAAAAAAACTTGTCCAGTTACGAAAATTACCATCGTTAGTAATATATTAACAATTTCAGTTAATAGATGTCGCCGCGGTTAATTCAGTGAACCAAATTTAAGAAGTGTTGTTTTGTCAAATAAGGTTCGTATACAAGTTTGACAGGTGGACTTTGTGCCGGCAGAAGTTTTTCCTTCGGCGTTTGGAATAACAATTTACCGGTAAGTATTGATAGTAATATTATCTTATTTACGAATTTTAATATAAATTTTAGTATTTGTATAAACTCTTTTCTAAAATTAATATTCGTTTAGCAATTTCTTACATTTCGTAAAGTTTTCCCTGAAATTTAACATTTACACTTAAATTTATAAAATACTTCTTAAAATTTCTTCCATTTTTTTCAGTATATTATTAATTCTAATAATTTTTCTTATTTGTAATTAAAGTAGAATTTTTCTGTCGATTATTACAAGAATTATTTTTTAACCTTTTATTCAATGTCGTCTTATTATTTGCAAAATATTAATTTTATGCCCAGTAAAAATAATAATTTATTACCTATATATTTTTAGGTTAATTTTAATTTGTCAAAAATTTATTTTTTTTCAAAATAACTTTAAGGAAATTTATTATTATACAATTTGAAGTTAATGTTTTGTTTATACTTTTGTTTTTTATTAACTTCAGATAGATTATATTATTATTAAATTATGCTTTAATTATTTATATTTTATTTTATAATTAATTCAATATAATTATTTGTAATTAAATGAAAAAAATTATTATTAATTTTTATAAATCAATTGCTTTTTTTAATATTCATTCATTGAAAAGAATGAAAATATACAAAAAATTGTCTCCTCCTTTTCAAAACTTAACAGTTTGAAAACTATAATTATTCCTTTCCATTCCTTTCGATTAAAAATCTAAAGTTTTGTTGAATAATGTTTTTTGGTTAATCGAATTATGCTGTTTTCTTTTAATTACTTGTAAATTATAATTTAAAGTCAGTGCGAATATTTAATATTTTCCAAGTAAAAATTATTAATCATTTATTATTTCAATAATAATTAATTTTACCAGTTTTCGATACTTTTTGCTTATTATCTCGAAATGAGACAACCAGTTTCCTTTTTGATGCGTATTAAATTGAGTATGAATTTCATACATAATTTGATACCAGGTTTTTTCTGTGAGAACAAATTATCATCGAATTGCGATTATCCTTAAATTCTTATGTTTTATTAGAACTATTGAAATGCAGTAATAAGGTAATGTTTGTAGTTAAAAGTTTCCGATTGCGAAAGTAAACATTTTTTTCAAAGAAATTTTTTTTATTCAATTCGTCGATTCAATAAAAAAAATAATTTCACAGGTTTTCTTTAAATTGTATATTGTTTTCACAATTTATTAATGTTTGAAGGAAATATGTGTAGCCGATATAACCTCAAAGCACAATTTTTTTTCTCTTTAATATGTACAGGGTAGTCACATATAAGTAAATTCAGGGAAAATATCTTTTGTCAGACACAGGAAAAAAAAGTGCTATTTTAGCACCAATTTTGGTGTTGAAATAACACGCAACAAATTTTCACCTGTGAGTGTTATTTTAACACCCTAATGGTTCGAATTTGTCACATGATCTTATTATTGGTGTTGTTTTAACACCAGAGTAGTGTTTTTTTTTTATTTATTTCATTTAGTTAATTAAGGTAATTAATTATCATTTATAATAATTTTAATTAATTTTCTACATTTGTTTAAAATGAAAAATTTAAAGTGCTTTATGAGAAAAGTAAATTAGAACAGTAGAATATACATTTGAAAAAAGCAATAGGTTATGTTTACGGCACTGGTTAACCGAAGTTAATTAATGAATTTGATTGACTGCTTTGTAAAGTATTATTATAAATAAATAGTGAAGAATTGAAATGAGAAAAATAAAATATATTAAATATTTTTGTCCGCTTTACAATGTTTGTTTATATTTTTTCAATTTAAATTTTTTAATACGGATTTATTATATATTTATTATTATGAATGTTATTAAATTAATATTTGGTTGAAGTAAATATTTATTTGATAATAATCAAGTAACCTAGTATTTAAACCAAAAAAAATTTTTTTGTGTAATTTTATAACTTTTATTTTTTTTATTAATAAATAATAATGAAACAAGTAAATTCTTTACAGCATATTTCAACTACACCACTAAAGGTGTTAAAATGACACCACAATTTGTGTTAAAACAACATAACTATTAGTGTTTAAACGACACCACCTATTATAACACCAGCTGTAAATCACACGCAACAAATTTAACCCTTATTTTTTTCAGTGGAGAGATTATAAAAATTATTCATATTGAAATTAAAAATTCAGCCATTGAGGTTCGACGCCGGTCCAATTTCTATGTGTCCCTTTTTGTAGCTAAGATTTCTTGAAAGTAAATTCCAATCAACACCCTTCTAATATTCATTTTATAAAAAACTTTGAAAAGTTAACAGATAATATTGTAAAATATCTACTGGCATTAGAAACTACATGCGCACGTTATTTCAGCTAGTTGTAATTAATACATCATTTGTTCTTCATATTATTATATTTATAATAATTATTTAAAATCAAATTTCAAATTTTGCGTTACAAAATCGCGTTTGTCCAAAATAAAGATGATCACAAGTTTTCGGTTTTATGATAGATAAAGGGACATATTTATATATATATACTATTGATGACTTTAAATAATATTATTACTCAAAATTATTGCTTGCGGATAAACGAAAATAATATAAGAAATTATCAAAGGACTTATACTCTTCTTATCTAAATCATAAACATTATGTTCTTTTATTCTTTTAAAAAATCTTTGAATTTTAATGAAAAATTATGTTTGAGAAATATTTTTCTCCTTTTTCTAAAACAAAATTATATTATACAAGTAATTAAAAGAAAACAGCATAATTCGATTAACCAAAAAACATTATTCAACAAAACTTTAGATTTTTAAT